CGCTGAACACCGAGATCTCTACGAGCTCCTTCAGTGGACCATTGCCAGTGCAAACTTTTTCTTCCGGGGCGTCAACTCGCATGGCCCATGGATCCCCCGTGATGTTGCTCAGCAACTTGTGCAGCATGGATGGAACATGACAGCTGCTTTGAGTGAACTTTTGTTGTAAGGAGGTTTTCCATTTCGACGGTAAACTCGCAAACCATTTCATGCTAAAGTGCTACTACTGATGCCAGTGAATGGATTTGCCAGTGAATGGCTTAAGGAAGGAGTGGGGGCATTGGCTGCAGCAACAGCCCTTCTCAAGTGGCCTCTCTTCCGACTGAAGCCCAAAATTCACATGCAGATGCACATCACGCTACGTGGCATGACTAGCCAACGTCTCTAACATTGCCGCAGAATGTTGAAACAGTGCGCGTCCGCAACAGTGCACAAGCGTCCGAGGAGAGACTTGGAGATCCAGTTGCAAAACAACTTGCAACAAATATTCAACCCACAGAGCCTCTAGGCTTTGCATTCGGCAGCTATTACTTTTTGTCCAATTTAACTCGTGTCTGTAATTGTGTTTGTCCTAAAGAAACCCGCACCCCCCACCCTGCTATTTTGCAACTCGAGCCAACCTATCTCTCAGTATCCGAGCCAGAATTTGTAAGGTATGGCCTGCTGGGCAGATGAAGATTTTATCGGGCGTTGTGCTCGCGTCTCTCGCAGAGCTTCGAATGCCACATGTGCGATTCGCACAATGCGTGTGTGTCTGCTTTTGTACCAGAAGCAATGGAGCTTGCAGTTTGCTTAAAAGAGATCTGAGCCTCCAGCGGGTGGAGTCGCATCAGGTCCACGGCCACCACGATGCAGAGGGGTCGGGTTGGAGTTCTTGGGTTGTAGCTCATATATACATGTTTACAGGCCCCCGTGGTTTTCGTAGAAGTTCAAGAGTTTATTTGCCCAGGATTCGAGTTTTAAGGTGGGGATTGCACTTGTACTGGCCAAGGGTTGGAGTTCCCAGGGTGCTTGAGGAGTTTACCGCCGAAGAACTGGAATTCTTGAAAGCCCCCCATAGGCCCACAAAACAATACACATGAAGCCTGTCCTCATATAAACTCTCCCAAAGACCCAGCCATGAATCCCGCGCGGAAATTTCCATTCCGCATGGAAATCCCAAGCTCCAACATCTCGACAGGATTTCTTGACGTATGGAAATAAACGTATGTTTGGATGGTCTAGGTAAACCCTAAACCCTAAACCCTAAACCCTAAACCCAATTTCTGAGTGTCAGAGTCTGAGGATGCAGGCAGAATGAGGCGATTGCAGACGCCAGGGTCAAGGGACGAGCTTTTGCCACAGGCAGCTGCCTGAGAGAAGTGGCTCAAGGAGCACCCTTGTGAGGCCCAGTATAGGTTTAGGGTTTAGGGTTTAGGGTTTAGGGGTATAGGTGCTGGTGTCAGTGTTTAAGACAGTCAGTCAAGGGCAGGGCCTTCTGTCACAAGCGTTGTTAAACTGACGCCATGTGCTTGCGCCACTCGTGCTAACCCCTGAATCTTAAACGCCTGTCGAGGGAGGTTTTTGGTGACAGCCAGAGCATCGATTGTTGGGGTGCTCAGGGTATCTTAAAGGATACTTTTGGGGGGGTCGAACAAGGAACCCCGCAACTCCTCATAAACCTTCAGCCCTTTCCTCCCTCATAGCAAGTCCAAAACCCAACCGCTAAAACCTCCCTGGAAAAATTGAACCGTCTCCAGCTCCGGTTTTCAGGGACTTTTTGTGAAGGCTTGAACACGCGTGTTTTACTCCTACATGGCCCCTTGCGCTATACAGCCCTACATGAGCCTCAGACAAAAGCTCATTTTCCCTAAGCCTCCATAAACACCCGCTCTATAGGTGGCTAGGGGTCCTATATGAAGCCCAGCACTTAAGGCAACTAGAAGCGTAGGGTTGTGGCTCCACCCAAACTCTAAACCCTCAAGCCTCAACCCTAAACCCTAAACCTCTCTTACCATCTATATATATATATATATATATATCAACCCTGATGACTTGTTGGGCATAGGCACAAACCTTAGTGGGCAAGGCACAAAGCTTCGTGGGCAAGGCACGCCCGTGCTTTGCCCACTAAGGTTTGTGCCTTGCCCACCAAGTTTGCGCGTTGCCCACCAAGGCTTGTGCCTTGCCCACCAAGGTTGTGCCTTGCCCACTAAGGTTTGTGCCCCTCTCTGCCGCCCCCCTCCCCCCCTCCCCCTCGAGTAGACCTAGTACATGAGCTGCTGAACCCTAAACCCTAAACCCTAAAAACCCTAAACCCTAAACCTCAAGGGACCCCAAGTCCACCCCCCGTCTTTAGGTGGCCTCCGCGACGGGCACTTCAACGCTGGATGAGCAGAGCCGAAGGGAGTTGCAAGGCAGAGCTGAGGGTTTAGGGTTTAGGGTTTAGTTTAGGGTTTAGGGTTTAGGGTTTAGGGTTCAGGGTTCAGGGTTTAGGGTTATAGGGTTATAGGGTTATAGGGTTATAGGGTTCAGGGTTCAGGGTTCAGGGTTTAGGGTTTAGGGTTTAGGGTTCAGGGTTATAGGGTTTAGGGTTTAGGGTTTTGGGGGGTTGGGGAGGAACTTGCAGGGGGCACCACTTGTTGGCTGAGCGTACTACTGCTTACCATTAATGGACCCGCTGGGCTGGGTCTAAATGCTTTTGGCCCTAAGTATCGACAAAGCTTCTTCTGCAAGTCGTGCATGGGTTTACGTGTCGCTAGGTTCGTGCGATATGGAAAAGGTCGACCCCCCCAAAAAAGAGTAATATATACATACATATATATATATATATGTATCATAACAATATAACGTATACATATATACTAATATATACTCTCACACTCACCAATATGTATAAGGAGCCCTATATACGCTCACGAGTATCAGTAGTACAAGCCCGGGGCTTAGGTCTTCAGGGTTTGGGGTTGTAGCATGTTAGGGTTTCAGGATTTTCGGCGTTTTAGGCGCCTAGGGCGGTTTAGGCCTTAGGGCCTCCGAACCCTAAACCCTAAACGCTAAACCCTAAACCCACAAGTCCCTGGCAGCACCTCTGCCCCGAGGGCACTTCACGGCAGAGCTGGGGGAGCTGCTCGCAGTGGCGTTGCCGAGGTGTCCGCTCCAAACCACCCCGACTAAGCCCCCAAGCCCTACACCCTAAACCCCTGCCTTAAACCCTAAACCCTAAACCCTAAACCCTAAACCCTAATGGCAGCTTCAGGTTAGGCTTCAAGGTCCCTAACGGACCGGGGGTTTGAAGGGGGAGAGGTACCTCCGGAAACCTTCGGGGAGTTTAGGAGGCCCAAGGGAACACTAGCGAGTACGAGGCATAAGGATTGTTGGACTTGTTGGTTACGAAATTTCTCCAGGCCCGAAACCTTTTGAACTTTTTGGGTGCGTTACGGGTTGTGAGGGAGAACTAATGACTAAGGGGTATCCACTTCGGCCCCTACATGCCGTCGTACTTCCCTTACAAAAGGTCCTTCGTAATGCCTGAACCAGCTCAGCTGTTTCGGAAATCTTACTAACTTGTTGCGTCTTCAGAAGTATGTTTCCGGTTCTTTTGAGAACTCTTAGACCCTAGAACCGTAAGCCCACACCCTAAACCTTAAACCCTCAACCGCAAACCCACAACCCTAAACCCCTAAACCCCCAAATCCCTACCCCAAACCACGCACCTGAAACCCTCCTTAAACCCCACACCCCAAACCGTTAAGAACTTTTGAGAGGTTAACACTAAACCCCTAAACCCTAAACCCTAAACCCTAAACCCCAAACCCTAAACCCTAAACCCTCTCACTTGAGAGGTTGGCATCCATCGCGACCGGCGCGGAGGCCGTGGCCGCGGAGGCGAAGCGGCACTTGCGGCGCACTTGGCTGCAAGGAGAGGGTTTAGGGTTTAGGGTTTAGGGTTTAGGGTTTAGGGTTTAGGGCTTAGGGCTTAGGGTTTAGGGGGTAGGGTTTAGGGTTCAGGGTTTAGGGTTTTGGGTTTAGGGTTTAGGGTTTAGGGCTGCAAAGGAGCCCATAGGTTCTTTGGGGGTTCAGAGGGTTTAGGGGTAGAGGGTTTAGGGTTTAGGGTTTGGGGTTTAGGGTTTGGGGTTTGGGGTTTAGGGTTTAGGGTTTAGGGTTTAGGGTTTAGAGGGGTTAGGCTTTGGGGTTGAGGGTTTAGGGTATGAAGCGAAGAATAGCAAAGAGTAAGCCTAAGCTTGAAAGGCTCCAGCCCTAGACCCTAAGCCCCAGAACCCACGCCGAGCCCAGGCTGCACCACGATTAGTATGTTTGTGTGGTTTAGGGTTTAGGGTTTAGGGTTTAGGGTTTAGGGTTTAGGGTTTAGGGTTCAGGGTTTAGGGTTTAGGGCTTAGGGTTTAGGCTTAGGGTTCAGCATGTGGGGCTTAGAGCTTAGGGTTTCGTACGAAATTGGAAAGTAGGGTTTAGGGTTGAGGTTTTAACCCACAAGCCCTGCTTTGCTTCATGTTGGATGGTGCTGGGTTTAAAGGCTTACTTACTTTAAACCTTTTGGGCTTCCTCATTTAGTAGGAATCATAAAGTTCAACCTTTTTTTCTCCCCCTTGGTCATGGGCGAAGTAAGTAGGGTTCAGGGTTTGGGGGAGGTCTAGGCTTTTTTGGGTTTAGGGTTTAGGGTTTAGGGTTTAGGGTTTTTAGGATTTTTAGGGTTTTTAGAGTTTGTCGGGTTTTAAGGGCTTTTAAGGCTGGATCCGAAGGTCAGGTCTCCCCTAAGTCTTTCCGAATGCATCTGGTTTAGGGTTTAGGGTTTAGGGTTTAGGGTTCAGGGTTTAGGGTTTAGGGTTATCTCTGCTGCAGGTGTGTGCTGGAGGCATGGGAGTCTGTTCCTCGACTGCCTTTGTTGGAAAGCAGTTTTTTTTTAATTCGCTTCAGTTGGCTGCTTTCGTAAAAGGGGGCCACAACCTTGTAACCCTTTTGAACCCTAAACCCTAAACCTGAAGCCCTAGACGGTCGAGGTTATGATGTGCAAGACGCAGATCACAGACCTCTACATGGACGCTTACGGGGCTGTTGTCTTTTCTTCCCCGGTCACGGGCATTGAAGGGTTTAGGGTTTAGGGCTTTGGGCTTGGGCTCGCGGGGCGGGGGGTGTGGGGGGGGAGGGGGGACGCTGGTCTTGGCTGATTTCGGCACTTGTGGCTTGGCGGGCGTGAGTGCAACAATCTGTTTGGGCACAAGAGGCCGTCTTTAAACCCCAAAAGGGCAAGCCTTTTTAATCTTTTTTCGAATCCCTTTTTATACAGCTTTTCTCTTTGAAATCCAACTTATGCAACCTGTTTAAGCCTGTTTCTAACCTTTTGATAGCTGTTAAGGCTTGTTTGTAATCGTTTTAAAGCTTTTTTGAACCCAGAAAACTCAGCCAGAAAGGATAACGACGAGCTGTCAGCGAGACGGCAAGAGGAACTGCTAGAGGCAAGCCGGAAGCTGGTTCAGGGAGAGGGTTTCGGGTTTAGGGTTTGGGGTTTAGGGTAAGTTTAGGGTTTAGGGTTTAGGGTTGTTGGAAAGCTTGAATCAAAGGTTCTGAGAGTTTGAAAGGGCTTGCAAGCTTTTGTTTTTTGTTTGAAGTCTCCCGTGGGCCTCAAGCCTTGGGAACAGGGCTTCGGGATTTTGCAGTTTGCGGATTGGAGAAAAATCAGGGTGGCTAACCAGGATGGGCGATTCTACCCTATAATCCCTTAAACGGCCCTTTATAGGGTTCCTGGGTCTTGGAGTACTATACTTTAATACTTTTTTTGGTTCTGGGTTCCTATTCTAGCTACTTATACCTAAAAAGTATATACTTTTTTTTCAGGGTCTACTCCAAAGCTAAGGAAGTTCATTATGGGGATTTTAAGGCCTAATGGCCCTTCCTGGAAGGGATTGACGGAGTCCCCAAGTGCCTCATCGCCATTGCGTGAAGTCTGTCGAAGGCCTCCCTCACCAGATGCAGTTCAGTCCCTGAACCCTAAACCCTAAACCCTAAACCCTAAACCCCAGACCCCAAACCCTAAACCCTAAACCCTAAACCCTAAACCCTAAACCATAAGCGGCTTGTAGCTGGAAGTGGTGGATGGGTGTCCCTCCACAGGTTGAACTTCGTGGGATATACGGTGCCTTGTTTACTTCAGCTCTTCAAATGCCCAAAGCCACGTTTAGGGTTTAGGGTTTAGGGTTTAGGGTTTAGGGTTCCAAGAGTTTGACACGTCCCTGACCCCAACCATGCGTATTCCTTGGTCAAAACAACGATAATGGGGTTTCCAACATCAGGGGTATCTTATCGGGGTCCAGAGTTTATGGGAATCCTTTTGGGATCTATTTTGGGGTTCCCTGTGTTGGTAAACCACCATATACTGATATGGTTTAGGGTATAGGGCCTTGGGATGTTTAGAGGTTGAAACCTTCATGAACGACTCTGGGGGAAAAACGCCCATTAAAACATATTAAATTCATACGTGCCTTATAATTTAATATATTTTAATAGGGTTTTTCGTGGAGTCGCGAGTGAAGGGTGAAAGGGGTGACAGGGGTGAATGAACAAGCCAAAAGACCCCAGTTCTAGTACTAAAAGACCCTGGAAACACCCTCACCACCCGGTAAACCTTAATGTCATTCCATTCACTCCGTTCATATTATTCATGCGTCGCTTCACTCCTTATAATAATATTACGAAGTGAATTGCAATCATAAGGTTTTATAAGGAATAACATGACGCATGAAAACCGTAATGATTGCATGAACGAAGTGAAAGAAATGTATGCGTGCGCCCTTGTCCTTTTTCTTTTCTCCTTTTATTAGTCTTTTTTATCGCGCACGCAGTAAGCATATGATTCGTGCGGTCGCTCTCTTCTTTCTCTCCCTTACAATCATATCCTCACAGCGGTCCCCTTAAAAGCCCAACTTACAAGCCCTCAACCCTAAACCCAAAACCCTAAACCCTAAACCCTAAACCCTAAACCCTAAACCCAGTAAAGGAAAATGCTAAAAGGAGGCCGCCCAGCTGTTGAGCCGCTCAGAGGGCGCCGTAGACGTGGCCGAAGCTCGGATCCGGTTTGGGGTTCTGGCCCTAAACCCTAAACCCTAAACCCTAAACCCTAAACCCTAAACCCTAAACCCTAAACCCTAAACCCTAAACCCTAAACCCTAAACCCTAAACCCTAAACCCTAAACCCTAAACCCTATGCTTGTGCACAGCTGGACATGCACGGCTTATGGTAAGTTTCGCGAGGATCCCTTCCCTTAGCGCCTGCTTGAGCCAAGGAGGCCAACTTGCACGCCGTGTGCGCGTTCCTGCCGCTGGCTTGGTGTTTGGGGGTTTAGGGTTTAGGGTTTAGGGTTTCGGGTTTAGGGTTTCGGCTTTCGGGTTTAGGGTTTAGGGTTCAGGGGTTTAGGGGTTTAGGGGTTTACAAGCGGGTAGGTTAAGTCGTATCTTCTGGTGCAAAGTCGTATCTCGGGCGCGTGCACACTGGGGATTCACGAGTCCAAGATTGGTCAGAACCCACTTGCACCCCCAAGCAGAAATCTCATTCACGCTGACAAAAATGTGCTCCCTCCCGCGCGTGCGGTGACAAGTGCGTAACTTGCATGCGTGTCGAGGGCATGCGCGTGCGGCGTGTGCACATTGGGGGCAAGGCTTCAACATATGTCTCCGTGATGCGACTTTACGCGGGGTGATGTGACTTCGCTCGCAGCCGCGTGTCACTGGGGAGATGTGACTTCGCACGCGAAGATGTGAGTTAACCTACCCGCTTGTAGGGGTTTAGGGGTTTAGAGGATTAGGGGTTTAGTGGTTTAGGGGTTTAGGGGTTTAGGGGTCTAGGGCTATTTGGGCTCTTAGGGTCCTAAACTCAGAAACGCATGGAGCACTGTCTGCCGCCTCCGGAAAACATTGCCGCTGCAGCACGCTTCTCCTACACCGAGCAATTTAGAACAAAAGCCTCACACCCCAGCATCCCCCTGAGTCTTGGTAGGGAGTTTTGGGTTTAGGGTTTAGGGTTTAGGGGGGGAGCCCATGATGAGTAGGGTTTGAGGGGCTAGGGTTTCGAGTTGAGGGTTTAGGGTGTAGTGTTTGAGGGTCTAGGGTTTCGAGTTCAGGGTTTGGAGTTTATGGTTCAGGGAATCCTGCTCCTGGTAGCCCATTGGTACCCCTTTCCCCTTTTTTGGTTCAAGGTTTCCTTATAAAGTAACCTTCCCAACAATGGGTGTGCCCTGATTGTAAGATGGTTGCTGGGCTACCAAGAGCTGCTTGCATGACCTTCGGCCATCGGACGTTCAGTAGTCAATTGCCTGTAGGGACAATCTCGCCTTGCATCCGGATCAGGTACCGTATACTGCCAGACCCCTACTAGGACTGTGGGCCTTTTTTTTTTTTTAGGGTTGGGGTTCCCTTATAATCCTCTTAAAACCAAAAAGGGTACCCTTTTATTCCTAGGTTACTCCCGGGTCTAGCCTAGGTCCTGCTCTACAGGTTCACTTCGTCCACAAGGTTACCCAAGCCAATGTCCAAGACACCATGGCCGGCCTCGCACCAGAATTTTGGGGCCGTGCTTCGTGGGTTGTCTCAAGAAACTTAGTAGTAGAGTGGGTAACCTTTAACCTTTTTGGGTTAATATATTCCCCTTAAAATCCCAAAGGTTAACCTTTAAAACCCCTAGGTACTGGACAACTAAGGAAAGGCAGGTCAAGCGTCAGCGCCTTGACGAGTTTGATGGCCTTGCTGCCTCCCGACAGTTGATGGTCCGTGGTCTTGATGGTTCCGAAGTGCAGCTTCCTTTCGACGACAACATGACGGTGGAAGATTTGCACAAGAGAGTCGCAGGAAGGATCGGCTTGCGGCTAGGCAGCATGCTTGTCTTGGTGTCTGGCGGCAATACCCTGGACGATTCCAAGCCGCTGTTGGAGCAAGTTCAGGGCGAGGTCATCACGTACGTGGTTCAACAGGTTGCCCATGACATGTTTACATGCTTTCCATCATTTGTTGGTTGCAAGAGGATCCTAATCCTAACTCAGATTCGTTATCAAAGGGTTTAAGGGGCTAGCCCAGCAACGACACGCGATTCAGAAACTGGAACGCCCGATTCAAAAACTGCAAGCGACTCAAGAACCAAGGCGATTCAGGAAACTGGCTTCGCGCGATTCAGGAAGCAGCGCGATTCAGGTAGGGGGTGGGGGGGGGGGGGGTTGGGGTGGGGCTGATAGCGTCTATGTCACCGGCCGTCTCTAGAGAAAAGTGTTTAGACTCAGGAGCTGCTTTCCGCAGGAGCTGCTTTCTGCAGGAGCTGCTTTCCACAGGAGACTTTGCCATTCAGGAAACTGGTTCGATTCCGGGATCTTTGCGGGTGAAGTGCCCACCGACTCCGGGGCGGACATCTGTTGATTGCGGTCATTCTTTGAGGTTTCCCGATTCTGTTTCTCAGTTTCCGGAGATCTGCGTTTTCCCAAAGCCGTGGTTTCCAGAATCTGCGGCTTCCAGTTTCCGACTCCGCGTTTTTGGTTCCCAATCTGCAACTTCCGGTTTCGAAATCACAGTTATTTCCAGTGTCCGAATCCGCGTGTTCTCGGTTTCCGAATCTGCTGCTGACCCTAATACCCTAACTCTAAGGCTCTGAGGACTCTTATGTTAGGGTATTTGGGCCCAAAGGCCTTCTTTATGAGACTCTTGGGCTATTTTGAGCCTAAGGGTAACCCAGGCTGGTGCAGGGCACGCAGCAGCTGCGTTTCTGCGAGCATGTGACGGCCAACGCTTGAGCGCGGTGGACGTAGACGCCAAGGACGCAATCTGTTCGTTGACATTGTGGGGTGAGCACACTCTCGAGAATCTTGAATTGCCAAGGGGCTTGCAATCCTTGAGCTTCGGACAGTCTTTCAACCAGAGCTTGGACAATGTGGTCTTGCCTGGCAGCTTGCAGTCCTTGAGCTTCGCACGCGATTTCAACCAGAGCTTGGAGAATGTGGCTTTGCCTGGCAGCCTGCAGTCCTTGAGCTTCGGACAGTCTTTCAACCAGAGCTTGGACAATGTGGTCTTGCCTGGCAGCTTGCAGTCCTTGAGCTTCGGAGACTGTTTCAACCAGAGCTTGGAGAATGTGGCCTTGCCTGGCAGCTTGCAGTCCTTGAGTTTCGGAGACTGTTTCAACCAGAGCTTGGAGAATGTGACCTTGCCTGGCAGCTTGCAGTCTATGAGTGTTGGACGCGATTTCAACCAGAGCTTGGAGAATGTGGTCTTGCCTGGCAGCTTGCAGTCCCTGAGCTTTGGATGCGATTTCAACCAGAGCTTGGGGAATGTGGCTTTGCCTGGCAAGTTGCAATCCTTGAGTTTCGGAGGCCGTTTCAACCAGAGCTTGGAGAATGTGTCCTTGCCTGGCAGCTTGCACTCCCTGAGCTTCGGTCATTGTTTCAACCAGAGCTTGGAGAGTGTGGCCTTGCCTGGCAGCTTGCAGTCCTTGAGTTTCGGAGACTGTTTCAACCAGAGCTTGGAGAATGTGACCTTGCCTGGCAGCTTGCAGTCCTTGAGCGTTGGACGCGATAGCTTGGAGAATGTGGCTTTGCCTGGCAGCTTGCAGTCCTTGAGCTTCGAACATTCTTTCTGTTTCAGTCAGAGCTTGGAGAATGTGGCTTTGCCTGGCAGCTTGCAGTCCTTGAGCCTCGGATACTTTTTCAACCAGAGCTTGGAGAAAGTGGCCTTGCCTGGCAGCTTGCAGTCCTTGAGCTTCGGACATTGTTTCAACCAGAGTTTGGAGAATGTGGCCTTGCCTGGCAGCTTGCAGTCCTTGAGCTTCGGACATTTTTTCAACCAGAGCTTGGAGAACATGGCCTTGCCTGGCAGCTTGCAGTCCTTGAGCCTCGGATACTTTTTTCAACCAGAGCTTGGGGAAAGTGGCCTTGCCTGGCAGCTTGCAGTCCTTGAGCTTCGGACATTGTTTCAACCAGAGTTTGGAGAATGTGGCCTTGCCTGGCAGCTTGCAGTCCTTGAGCTTCGGACATTGTTTCAACCAGAGTTTGGAGAATGTGGCCTTGCCTGGCAGCTTGCAGTCCTTGAGCTTCGGACATTGTTTCAACCAGAGTTTGGAGAATGTGGCCTTGCCTGGCAGCTTGCAGTCCTTGAGTTTCGGAAGCCATTTCAACCAGAGCTTGGAGAATGTGACCTTGCCTGGCAGCTTGCAGTCTATGAGTGTTGGACGCGATTTCAACCAGAGCTTGGAGAATGTGGCTTTGCCTGGCGGCTTGCAGTCCTTGAGCTTCGGACATTCTTTCAACCAGAGCTTGGAGAATTTGGTCTTGCCTGACAGCTTGCAGTCCTTGAGCTTCGGGCGTTGGTTCAACCAGAGCTTGGAGAATGTGGCCTTGCCTGACAGTTTGCAGTCCCTCAGCCTTCACAAAAATTACAACCAGAGGTTGGGTTTTTTGGACTTGCTGAGTGGACTTGTGCGCTTTGTTGGTATGGATTTACGCGTTGTTGCGCACGCATGTGGTCCAAAGAAGGGCAGTGAATTCTGAAGCCGAAAACAATTTCGAATGCCTGCGGCTTTGAGGTCCTCTGCCCTAAATCATGAACCCTGAACCCGAAGCCCTTAACCTCCACCCACTACTCTCTCTCATCCGAAGCCTTCTTGAGCTGGGCATTTGACATGGCCAGAGCCCCGACCTCTAAGAAACTGTCTGGCACCCTCAACATAAGGGTTTAGGGTTTAGGTCGTAGGGTTATAGGGGCGGGCGAAAGTGTAGCTTCAGGAAGTTCCTGAGCATCCACTTGAAACCCCCAACCGAAGTTACAGATTGAGAGCTGCAGAGCGAGCTTTGATGCTTTTGAACTGTAAGGTGTTGAGGCTTAACGTGTTGAGTTGGTTTTGTGTATTTTGGGGCGTCGCCGGCGTCGCCTCAAGTCCACCTACACCCTGGAGCCTTGAACACGGGGGGAATGAGGTACTCTTACCTAATCCCCGAAGGGGTAAAAGAAATAAACATAAATAAATAAACATATATATATATATATATGTATATGTTCAAATATAAATATAAATACAAATATAAATACAAATATAAATATAAATACAAATATAAGTAAAAAATATACATAGGGGGGGATGCAGGATGCAGGCGCTCCGCACGGCCTTCGACCGGTCGAAACAGCCTCGCCGGTGGATGTTCTGCTGGCTAGTGGATGGGATGGACACCCTAAACCCTAAACCCCAAACCCCAAACCCTAAACCCTAAACCCCGGACAGCCCATCCACGAGTTTTTGTACCGCCATATTGAAGGAGGGTTTATCTTCCTGTTATCGGTGAGTGCATATAAGGTTCCTTTTTTCTAGTATGGGTGAGTGTATATATTGGGTGTCCTTCTGGGGATAATTACAAGGAACATAAACCCTCCGATGCGGGGGTCGGAAGGGGGTGGCGGACGCTGGGATGGATACTGGAGCACGGGAGTACCTGCCTTCGGTAAAACTGTGGTCGGCCACACCGCTCCCCAAAGACCTCGCCTTCAGCACCTGGCCTGCCTGAAACTCTGGGCACCAGCAGCACACCCGCAAGGGTTTAGGGTTTAGGGTTTAGGGTTTAGGGTTTAGGGTTTAGGGTTTAGGGTTTAGGGTTTAGGGTTTAGGGGAGACATTAAGTCTCAGACCGGGGGACGCCTGAAGAAGGGCACTAGAGCTCTCTACGCAAAGCGCTGCGCACACGAAGTGCTCACTACCTCATTCCCAACGAAGAACCAGCCAGCCTACCCCACAGCCTGAAACCCCACAAACCCTTGCCTTGAAACCATAAACCCTAAACCCTTTAAACAAACCCTAAACCCTAAACCCTAAACCCCAACAAGTCCTAAGCCCTAGGACCCAGAGTAGACCAGACCCTTGTCCCCCATTTTGAGGGCTTAGTTTCCGTTCTATGCCCCTTTTAAACCAGAAAGGGCACCCTTTTTATTCCTAGGTCACTCTTGGGTCTAGTATCCCTAAACCCTAAACCCTAAACCCTGAACCCTGAACCCTGAACCTTGAAACCCTAAAGAACCCTAAAGCCAAGGAAGGACGCCTCCATGCGCCAGTCGCCGGAGGACTGGAATGTCGATTGCAGGGTTTTGGGGTTTAGGGTTTAGGGTTTAGGGTTTCGGGTTTGGGGTTGAGTGTTTCGGGTTTAGGGCATAGGATTTGTTTGTTTTTTTGTTTGGGGGGGCGGGGGGGCGTCTTCTAGGGTTTAGGGTGTATGGCTTAGGGCAGATTTGGCGTTTCAGGGTTTAGGGAGGTGCTTCGTTTTGTTTTTTGTTAATAGCCTTCTAGGGTTTAGGGTGTATGATTTAGGGCAGGGTTTGGTGTTTTCGGGTTGAGAAAGTGTTGTTGGTAATCGCCTTCTAGGGTTTAGGGTGGATGGTTCAGGGCAGGGTTTCGTCCTTGTTTGTTTGTATATGTGTCTTCTAGGGGTTAGGGTGTATTGTTTAGGGATTGGGGTTTAGAGTTTTACAGAGTGTTCTAGTTTGTGCTTCTCCGGAGCTTCATCGGTTTTAAGGCTTTCAGGTTTTAGTTTAGTGCTTTGGGGCTTGGAGCTTAGCTGCCAAGGTTATTTGCTCGACCGAAGAGGTTTCCGGGTTTAGGATCAGGAGTCGGGTTCAGGGTTTTGGGTCAGGATTCTTCAGTTGACATAAGTTGGGATGTTGCCCCTTACACTAACAGTCCTTAATGGGGATTGTATTGGGGGTGCTAGAATCCCCATTTCCCATTTCCAGGCGGTTAGAGGAGTACGCAACCCTAATTACAATGCACGCCAGCATGAAAGGAGAACTGGGGCAAAGTTCAGAATGCCTCCGGCAGCTGACACGTAAGCCCAGAACCTCCCACGCGAACTGTGGAAACACTGAGGTCTAAACCAGCAGAGACTGAAAAGCTGTACCCTCAAGTGCCCTTCACGGCTCGAAATCAAAAAGGAATTTCGAAAGCGCTGCACCAGTGAAGCTTACCCTCACTGCCAGCAGCGCAGTCGATAGATGCCACTACGTAGCCTGCCATTCCAGCGAAGCCCGCCAGATCACACAGTCCACCTGTCCAACTTGCGAAGCTCATCCCCGATGACTTGGATCAGGGAGGCAGCGCAGCTGGCCCAAGAACGCCAAACTCGCTTGGTTTGGCCATCCTGGAAGGACGCGCCGATAGTGGCCTTTGCGTTCATTTGGCCCTTGTCAACGACACAAGAGCCGCCACGAACCTGACTGGGATGCAGCTCTGCAATCTGCAGCCCGGCCACATCAAACAAACTCAGCCCATTCAGCATGGCAGCCGCGTCATCACCAGAGACCGCTGTGCCAGACACGGCAAGCCCCACTCCCAGGGCCTGATCAAGATATTTCCCCGTATTCTTGATCTCAACTTTCGCTTGCCAGTCATGCAACTCACTGAAAAGCTCCCGCCCTCGAGCGGCGAAGTGTACGGGACAAGGACGCGCTTCCCACACTCCTACAAACTCATGCACGGGACAATTGTGCACATTACCGCTGACATTGACCTCGTCATGCAACTCCGTATGCCTTTGCCGTCCACGACTGCTCCAGCACATAGAGCTGCTGTCCACAAGGTGGTCGATGGTCCGTGCTGTCACGACGCCATCCACCATGTACTCTGTGATCTCTGTATCGTCTGCCTGCACAGGCATCAACTCAGTGCATAGCAGTGCATAGCACTTCCTCCTCTGGACCATTCGGCTGCACAGCTTCTGGGAAGGTTTGGGGGTGCACAGCTCATGGTTGCTCATCGCGTAGCCCGACGAACCACGCGTTCGCCCCAAAAGTCCTGCAGACATAAAGTCCTCCGAGCCTGTAGGCTGTAGCTCAGATCTGCTGCAGCAGTTGCAAAAGTCCATGTAGGTAGGAAATGCAAAAGAGCCGGATCCTGCTGAGTCATAAGAAGGCCACCGCAAGCCACTGCAAGAAGGGCATCTACTTTCCATGGCGAACCCCGCCCCGAAGGGCCGATGTGGAGTTCTGGGGTCCCTGGCAATACGGTCGCTCTTGACCGCTCGATCCCAGACCCTAGAATCCCCATTCAGGACTGTTAGTATACGGGGAACATCCCTAAACGCTGAACCCTAAACACAGTAAGGGAGAAACTCCTCTGAGTTTACAGAAGTCAAGTTGGTTCAGCCCCTTCCCTGCCTTGCCCCGCGAGACTCGTAACCGTGGTTTAGGGTTTAAGGTTTAGGGTTTAGGGTTTAGGGTTTAAGACTCGTATCCCTAACTAAGGTTGTACCTCTAAAAGATTCCTCTTAATGTATTTCCAGTATGGCCCTTATATTCCCGTAGAGGATCTTTAAAGAGGGTTCCCAGAACCCAAGGGCACAACCTTAAGGGTCCAAAAGTAAAACCCCTACTTGGAAGTTCATGGTACTTACTAACCAATTATAACTGTACTTTTTAAACTGTACTTATAGCCATATTAGGGCACTTAAGGGACTCATAAGTGGGCTAGAAGTACAGTTATACTTGGTTCATATAAACCCTAAACCCTAAACCCGAAACCCTAAACCCTAAACCCTAAACCCTAAACCCTAAACCCTAAACCCTAAACCCTAAACCCTAAACCCTACCGGTTAATAAGTACCATGAACCCCCCAAGATAAACAAGAGGAGCAAGGGCCGCTAAAGACGATCCTCCGCCATCTGCAGCGAGATGCGACCTGGAGCTCCGGGCTGCACCTGGACCACTCCAAAAAGGGTGCTTTAGGGTCCAGGGTTTAGGGTTTGGGGTTTAGGGTTTAGGGTTTAGTTTGGGGTTTGGGGTTTGGGGTTTGGGGTTTGGGGGTTGGGGGTTGGGGGTTGGGGGTTGGGGGTTGGGGGTTGGGGGTTGGGGGTTGGGGGTTGGGGTTGGGGGTTTGGGGTTGGGGTGCCATTTGGGTCTTTCCAAAACAGGTTGATCTTTCTTTGCCGGCGCTTAGTGGCGTCGTCTTGCCTCAACCGCAAATGTTGGTGTCATGAGCGTATCTTGTATACGGGTTTAGGGTTTGGGGTTGTGCTTTCCTCCGTCGATCATGCACATTGGGGTGCTCCCCCCGTATACCAGCAGTCCTCATCAGGATTATCGTAGGGGGTACTATAACACCTATTGGGGACTGTTAGTATGAGGGGGAACATCCCAACATGTACACGTAAACTGCATGCATCTGTCTTTCTTTTCGCATCGAGAGCGCGTGTGGTCAGTCAACCGTCAAGGAGGCGGGCTCTAACTTATGAAGGTCCTAAACCTGTAACTGATCATGTATAGAAATATACAATATATATATATATATATATATTTATATATATAGATCTATATATTAGATATAGATATAGGTCTATTTTTATTTATGTGTACATATTTAGCAGTTATATGTATATACATATCTATATATATATATATATATATATATATATATATATATAGATATAGATACATAGACATATACATACAGTTATAACATCTCAAGCTCTTTATCACAAGGGCAGCCCTTTGTCGCTACACCGATCCGTCTTCCCAGGGCGGCTACCCGGCTGCTGTCTGCCCTGGGCGGCGACGCCGCGCGCGCGCAGCGCGCGGCGCGGAGGATCCAGGGCGCCTGGAAGCGCGCCTCTGCCCAAGCAGATGATAGGAGGGTTCTGTTTTTTGTTTGTAGGGTATTGGGTTTTGGGGGTTTAGGGTTTTAGGGTTTTAGGGTTTTAGGGTTTTAGGGTTTTAGGGTTTTAGGGTTGTAGGGTTGTAGGGTTTAGGGGTTAGTTGGGGATTTTAGGGGAAGGGGGGGGGGGGGGGGGTTCGGGGTTTGGAGGGTTTTTTTTTTTGGAGAGGGGATGGGTTGGGGGGCCAGGGGCATGTATCTTCTCAGGGGCCCTGTCTCAACAGAGAAGACCTGCCTCAGCAACATTACCCGTAATTAAACCCTACAAATCCTGTAAACACCATAAACCCTGCAAACTATAAACCCTATATATATAAGCCATTAAACCGATAAGCAACCCTAAATAAACCTATAAACACCCTTCGTAAAGCCTATAAAAACCGTAGAAAAAAACTTTAGGGTTTAGGGTTTAGGGTTTAGGGGTTTAGGGGTTTAGGGGTTTAGGGGTTTAGGGGTTTAGGGGTTTAGGGGTTTAGGGGTTTAGGGTTTTTACACCTAAGCCCGGAGGCTCCCGGACACGGGTTGCGGAGGAGCCGGTCAGCCCTCTCGGGCTTGGCCGCAAGACGCTGGGCTGTTTAAGCTGGAGGGTTTAGGGTTTAGGGTTTAGGGTTTAGGGTTTAGGGTTTAGGGTTTAGGGTTTAGGGTTTAGGGTTTAGGGTTTAGGGTTTAGGGTTTACTGTAGGGCTTAGGGAGCTTTAAGGGCTCCGTGGGCTTTAAGGTTTAGGGTGTAGGGCTTTGAGGGCTTTGAGGGCTTTAAGGGCATTGAAAGGCTTGTAGGGCCTTTCAGGGCTCTGTGGGCTTCAAGGTCTTTAAGGGGCTTTGAGGGTATTTGAGGGTTTGAAGGGTCTGTGGGAGTTTCGGGCTTTGAGGGCTTCGAGGTTGTTAAGGGGCTTGGAGGTCTTTAAGGATGTTAAATGGCTTGAAGGGTTTCAAGGCGCTGCGTGGTTTTTGAGGCTTGAAGGGCTTCGAGGGCATTGAGGGCTCAATTTAAGGGCTTTTCCGGCTATACTGTTTTGGGGTCTAGCGCGTTGAGAGCAAGGGGGTTTAACCAGCTTTGAGGGTTTTGAGGGTTGAGGGCTTTAGGGCGCCCAGGTCCTTCCTCAGCCCCTAATCGCTTGACTTAGGTACGCAGGTTATACACCCTGTATGCGATTCTCAGGTAGTTTGCCAAAAGAGGGAAAGTTTTTTTTTTTTTTTTTTTGGGGGGGGGGTTCTTCAGCCGACATTTATAACTCATGCCAAACACACCCTTAAGCCCTTAGACCCTTAAACTCAAAACCCTTAAGCGCTCTTAAACCCTGAAGCCCTTAGCCCTAAACCCGAAACCCTTAAACCCTAAACCTCAACACTCCTAAGCCCTTCAACCGTTAAGCCCAAATCCCGAAACCCGCGTTAATCATTAGGGTCTAAACCCTAAACCCTAAACCCCAAACCCTCAGGAAAGCACTGGGCCCTGGGCGGAGCGTCCGCGACAGCCGGAGTTGCCCCGCCCCAGATTCATTGAGGGATGCCTGTAGTGTTTGGGGTTGCAGTGCTTAGGGTTTTGTGATTTGTAGGCTTTAGGGTTTGTAGGGTTTGGAGTTTGTTAGGGCTCAGTTTTTTTTGGTTTACTAGTGTTTGAATCCTGACCGTCAGCCCTTTATCGTGCCCAGACGCAGCCCTCTAGGTTTAGGGTGTAGGGTTTAGGGTAGGGTTTAGGGTTTGTAGGGACTTAGAGCAGCCCTTCAGAAGTAGAGGCGGCCGTGCAAGCGGGCTAAGTATATACCTGGGGAACTATTGATCACTTGGAAAAACTCATTCGAACACGCGCCTGGGCACCGGTCCGTGACAGTCCCACTGATTGCCCGAAGAGTCTAGGGAAGTTACATGGGCCTTTAATATGGTCCCTTACCTCCTCTAAAGGGTTCTGAAGTATGGGCCCTTGGGTTGTATAGGGGATATAAGGGCATAGAAGAGGTATATAAGGGGTCTATAAGACCATGTAACTACCCTTAGGAAGAGTCAGAGAATCTTGGGGAAGACGCAAAAGTGCGCGCAGCAGCCGATGGTCCCTAAGAAAGCCTTTAAACCTCAAACCCTAAACCCCAAATCCCCAACCCCAAACCACAAACCCTAAACCCCAAACCCCAATCCCTAACCCAAAACCCCAAACCTTAAACCCCAAACCCTAAACCCTTACAACCCGCAACCCCCCCCCCCCCCCCCCCAAACCCGGCCCAAACCCCAAGCCCTAAACCCCAAACCCTAAACCCCAAACCCCAAACCCAAATCCCCAAACCCCAAACCCTAAACCCCCCAAACCCCAAACCCAATGCCCCAAACCCCAAACCCTAAACCCTAAACCCTAAACCCTGAACCCCAAACCCTAAACCCTAAACCTTCAAGACAAAATAGATAGACATTGTCTCTGGTATCATCCTGAATTTCCAAGTTATTTGTCCAAACAGCTGACAATCCGAGTTTGAGTCTGAGGCCAAACTGCCCTCCCCCTCCCCCCACCCTCCTTGTGCAGGCGCAAAAAGCAGAACGTTTCGGTCAAAACGGTTCGGTCAAACTTTCGGTCAAGACGTTTCGGTCAAAGCTTTTTTGGGACCCAAACCCTATACAACTTCTATAAACCCCAAACCCCAAACCCCAAAACCCCAAAACCCCAAAACCCCAAAACCCCAAACCCTAAACCCTAAACCCTAAACCCTAAACCCTACAAGGTTGCGGCCGCACCTCATGGCGCTGGTCCCGCTGTGCACTCGGGCTGCCACAGACAGGGGGGGGGGGGGGAAGGGGGGGGTAGGGTTTAGGGGTTTAGGGTTTAGGGTTTAGGGTTTAGGGTTAGGGTTTAGGGTTTAGGTTTAGGTTTTAGGGTGTTTAGGGTTTTAGGGTTCCACAGGTGGGGGGTGGGGGGGGGGGGGGGGGGGGGGGGGGGGGGGGGGGGGGGGGGGGGGGCGGCTCAGGGTGGTCGTTGGGGCCGAGTGAAACCTGAGGATTTAGGGTTTAGGGTTTAGGGCTTAGGGTTTAGGATTTGGGGTTTCGGGTTTTTGGGGGTTCGGGTTTCGGGTTTGGGGCCTGGGCTTTAGGCTTTGAGGTCTAGTTCTAGAGGTTTGGGGCCAAAGGTTTGATTGAGGGCGGCAGTTTGTGTTTTTGGGGCTCAGGGTTCAGGGCTTAGGGTCCAGGGTTTGAGCGATTGAGCATTCGAAGCTTACTTTGCCAGTAGTTGAACTCTAAACTTTCCGAGTTTCCTTATTTAGTAGGGAAAATAGAGTTTGATGTTTTTGTCCCATTGGGTTATTGGAGAAGTGAGGAAGGCTCAAGATTTCAGACTGGCTTTCGGTGATTTTTCATTGCTTGATGAACCGACGGTATCCTCAATTCTTCCTCAGGTTTACACTTTCTCCGCTAGCTCCCAAAACCGTTTTAGCTCAACAGGCCTAGCTCTGGGCGCTCTGGCAATATTGCCTCCTAGCCGATGGCTTTTCGACCCCATGCATACGTACTACACCTCTGGTGGCGTCGCAGCAACTGAGCTGGCTGTGTCCAGGAGAAGACGGGTCTCGAGGTGTAAGAGCTCGCTGAATCGCTTCGTGCTGTGGGCTGCAATGTCCCGGACATTGTGTGGGTTTAAAAACCGCCAGAGCCAGAGCGAACCTGCTGAGCGAGAGACGCTTCGGATCGACTTCATACAAAGGCAAAGCTTCAGAAGTCACGGTTTTCCTTCCTTTGCTCTGTGCATTGCTGGAAATGCTGGACGATGATGCTGTTTTGAACTGAAAGAGGTCGTGGAGTTTAGGGTGTAGGGATTCGGGTTCAAGACTGTTCACAAGGGAACATGTGGAGGACAACTTGGGCTTCGAAGTGGACGCGTCAGAAACACCACCTAAAAACTAGGCACTCAACCAAACCCTGCAACCTGGCATCTGAACCCAAAATCCCGATAAGGGTAGTTCTCCAAATTCGGGTCACTGGTTTGAGATCCCTTTTTAAAGGGTGCCGCCTCATACTGGGTACCCAGAAAGGGATCCTTATTTAGGAAACTACCCAACACCCCCCGTAAACCTCAAACCCAAAGCACTGGATTGTTGTCCCTTGTGTGTCGCTGTTGACACAGGGACACCCGGAGCGACCACGATTTACAGATCTGACCCCGCAAGTCCTTTAAATAGAAACGCTACAGCTGCCAAGCCCTAGGCCCTAAGCCCGAAACCTCTCACACCCATAGAGCCTTACACCCGGTATGGGCCCGTGAAAGACCCAGGCCCCGAACCTACCTTAAACCCTGTGCGAGTACAAGCGCTACAACACCTAAACTCACCTGAACTTTGTGGTACTTTACTGTAACTTTAGATCCTTACCTTTTTTGGGCTTATTGGGTTTCTGCTTAAGGCAGCTAAAGGTTTAATTTATAGCTACCCTCCTGAGTGCAGCCAAGCAAACTCACCTGAAGCCCTTTAAAAGATGTTCAGGTGCCCTCAAATACTTCCCAAGTCCAAAATGAAGCCCTAAATCCCACACCCTGAGCCCTAAGCTCTAGCACTTCCCCGAAAAGGCCCTATAGCCCTAAGCCCTAAACCCTAAACCCTAAACCCTAAACCCTAAACCCTAAACCCTAAACCCTAAACCCTAAACCCTAAACCCTAAACCCTAAGCCCTAAGCCCTAAACCCTAAACCCTAAACCCTAAACCCTAAACCCTAAACCCTCCCCCCCTCGGGGCATTCAAGGAGCGTGTCTCCTGCGTACTGCCGGGTGCCACAGCGCGGACGGCCGAAGCTTTGAGCTCCCATTCTGCATGGGGTTTAGGGTTTAGGGTTTAGGGTTTAGGGCTTAGGGCTCAGGGCTTAGGGTTTAGGGTTTAGGGCTTATTGTTTCGAGGGCCTTTCCCTGGGGAAGCAGCCACAATAACACATACTGTAACGATTCTGGGACTTGTGATCGAGAGAATGGTAGCTACTTTCAGAATACTAAGAATACTGGAGTCACAAGTCAAGCACAACAGTCATAATTTGCGTGAATTTCTCACGCCTGCAACCCGAAGCCCGAACTCATGGCATCAAGGAACCCCTAAACCCTGGTTTACGAACCAGGGTTCAGGATTTTAGGGATGTTTAGGGTTTAGGGTTTAGGGTTTAGGGTTTAGGGTTTAGGGTTTAGGGTTTAGGGATCCCTATAAACCCTAACACAAAAACCCATCATCCAAGGCATCCACCTGCTTCGGGAGGGCTCCGAACTCCTGGCGCAGCTCCCCGGGATGCCAGCCATGGACGTGGTCACACAGTCCTCTGACATTGAGGGTTTAGGGTTTAGGGTTTAGGGTTTAGGGTTTAGGGTTTAGGGTTTAGGGTTTAGGGGCTAGGGCTAGAGTTTAGGGTGTTTGGGTTTTTGGGTTTTAGGGTCTAGTTTTTAGGGTGTTTAAGGGTTCCGGGGTTTGGGTCACTTTGATGTGAGTGTTCGGGTTTGGAGTTTAATGGTCATTTCGGTCTGAGTACTAGGGTTTGGGTTTAGGGGTTGGAATAGGGTTCAGTGTGCAGGAGAGAGCTTATGTTTATAAGTATTTGTGGGAGCTGTTTGAACCGGGGACAGGGGCTTTGAGAGAGTCGGGGGCCTTCAGTCAGGGAGTTTTGGTGGCGATTTCGGGTTTTTTTACCCTAAACCCGAAACCCTAAGCCCTAAAACCCTAAACCCTACATCCGGCTCGCAGAGCATAGTATGGGCTTTGGTCCTTTCCTTCCCAATTCTGACTCAAAACGAACCCTGAGTTGTTGCAGTGTTTTTCGACCCAGAGTAATATAGGGGCCTGAATAATTAGTAATTCTTCCGACCCCTATGCAAGGCCCTTATTCCCTTTTTTTAGGGTTTGGGTTCCCTTATCAACCCTTTTAAACCAAAAAGGGCACCCTTTTTTCCTAGGTTACTCCTAGGTCTAGGTGTCTTGCGTCGTACCACGTGAGCTTGAGGCTAAGCTCGAAACCTCTTCACTACTATAGGAACCGCCAAAAAATCAAGGATAATCATCCCGATATGGTCCTTAGAAGGAGGAATATTGTAGTATAGGTTCTGGGGGTTCTTAAGCTAATAGTAGGTCAGTCTCAACCCAAACAGAGAAGCAACCAACTCCGAGTCTAAAGTCCCTAAGCCTGAAACCTTTACACGCCCTTGCTCGCCGTCCCCCCAAGACCCTGTAGACTAAACCCCAACCGACCCGCACCCCCACACCCCAACCCCTAAGCTCTAAACCCTGAACCCTGAGCCCTAAGCCCCAACCCCTCAACTCTCCAAAAGCCCTACGAAACCAGGTTCCAGCGCAACTGCCTGGCCCTCGACTCGGCGCTGGTGCCCATGAAAGGGGCCGCGGCGGTGGCCTTCTGGCCACCAGGCTTTGGATTCGGCAAGTTTTGCGGTTTAGGTTTAGGGGTTTAGGGTTTAGGGTTTAGGGTTTAGGGTTTAGGGTTTAGGGTTTAGGGTTTAGGGTTTAGGGTTTAGGGTTTAGGGTTTAGGGTTTAGGGTTTAGGGTTTAGGGGGCCACCAGGCTTTGGGGCTTGGAGGTTTAGGGATGTGAGGGGATGTTAGGGTTTTGGGTTTAAGCCTTAGGGTTTAGGGAAGGTTTGGAGGTTTGGAAGTTTAGGGATGTTAGGGATGTTAGGGTTTTTTGGATTTTGAGGTTTAGGGATGTTCGGGGTGTTAGGTATGTTAGGGGTGTTAGGGGTGTTCGGGATGTTGGGGATGTAGTTAAGGGTTTTCAGTCTTAGGCGCATTTGGGGGCTGGGGTGGAAGTGGGGGCGGGGGGGTTAGAAAGAATTTCGGCGAACGCAGGGTTCGTGGGTTCAGGGCGATTCAGGGTTTAAGTGTTTCTTGCAGGACATGATGGAGTTCCTAGAAAGCAATGAAAGAGGGAACTTGGCTGCAGCTTTGGATATGCATCTTCATTAGAACCATGAAGCGATGGTTTAAAATCGACTGGAATCTGGGTATTCATCCGACGCAGCATTAGAATACGAAGCGAACACATCGACAGGGGATTTGGGGTGGGCGGGGTGGGGTGGGATGGGGGGGGGGGGGTACTCATCCAAAATGGAAGCAACAGCTAGCAACGAAACACAGCCTGGACCCTAAACCCTAATCCCTAAACCCTAGTCCCTAAAACCTAATCCCTAAACCCGAAACCCTAAACCCTAAACCCTAAACCCTCTCCAGGCCTGGAACGACTTCGGGTTGAAACAAAAAAGATGAAGCCCCAGTCAAGGCTGAACGTGAGGAACCTCGTGGTCGTTTTGGCCCTGCTGCTTGGAGAAGCTTAGGGTTTAGGGTTTAGGGTTTAGGGCTAGGGTTTGGGGTTTAGGGCTAGCGTCTGGGGTTTAGGGGTTACTGCTGCTTGGAGAAGCTTAGGGCCTAGTGGGGTTTAGGTTTTAGTGTTTAGGGTTTAGTGCCGTGCCTAAACCTTAAACGGCAATCCTTAAACCCTAAACCCTTACCACCTCAAATCCTACCACCTGAAACCCTAAACCTCAAAGCCTAAGCCTTAAACCGTAAAACTTAAAACCCGAAACCTCAAACCCTGAACCCTACACCGCAAGCCCTAAACCCTAAACCCTAAACCCTAGACCTTAAACCCGAACTCCTATACTTGGAGGTTCATGGTACTTCTTCACCAACTATAACTGTACTTGTAACCTGCTTATAGGCCCCCTTAAGTGCCCTACTGTGGTTATAAGTACAGTTCCTAAACCCTAAACCCTAAACCCTAAACCCTAACCCCTTTTAGTACAGCTATAATTCCTGTAGTTAATAAGTACCATGAACCTCCAAGTAGGGTTCAGGGTTTAGGGTTTAGGGTTTAGGGTTTAGGGTTTAGGGTTTAGGGTTTAGGGTTTAGGTTTCATGTTTTTAGGGTTCAGGGTTAAGGGCTTAGGGTGTGGTTTAGGGGTTTAGGGTTTAGGGCTACCCTAAGTTCCGTGAACACCCTCTTTTTGGTGTAAAGCCACCCTGCAACCCTAAACCCTAAAACCCTTAAACCCTTAAACCCCTAAACCCTTAAACCCTAAACCCTAAACCCAGGCTGCAGCAAGCTTCTCGGCCTGCGGGCCGTCTTCCTTCCTCCTCGGAGGCCTCGGGACGAGCGCTCAAGCCGCGAAACCCTAAACCCTATCTTCAGAACCCAGAACTTAGCCTTTGTAGGTTACCTCAGAATCCTATAAGGTTTCTTTTCTTGGCTAAGAGCCTGCAAAAAAGCAGGTTTGGGGATCTTAAGGTAAGCCCTAAACCCTGAACTAAACCATGTCGAACTGGTCGGTGGTGGCCAGCACAAGAACCAATCAGCAGGGCTTCCCCCTGCAAAAAAAAGGAGCCCGTACTTCTAACCTTCGACACCCTGAACCCTAAACCCCTAAACCCTAAACCCTAAACCCTAAACCCTAAACCCTAAACCCTAAACCCTAAACCCTAAACCCTAAACCCTAAACCCTAAACCCTAAACCCTAAACCCTAAACCCTAAACCCTAAACCCTAAACCCTAAACCCTAAACCCTAAACCCTAAACCCTAAACCCTAAACCCTAAACCCTAGCAAGCGTGGGCCTCAAGCCCACCAATTCTCCCCTGCGCGAGGAGTGGCGGGCTTGCTTGAGCTGCACCTCGCTCTTTGTGATGGGCCGGCCCCCTGTCTAGCCCAGTGGGTGGTTTAGGGTTTAGGCTTTAGGGTTTAGGGTTTAGGGTTTAGGGTTTAGGGTTTAGGGTTTAGGGTTTAGGGTTTTGTTTTCAAGACGGAAACCGGCATATGATTCAACTTGGTTCAACATCGCTAAGCCCTCATTATGCAAGGACAGCTTCGTTGGACCTATTGATGGGGTAGCCCAAAGACCCTAGACCCAAAATCCTGCATCCCTGCACTCTACACCCTAAACCCTAAACCCCAAACCCAAAGGGGATCAGAGCTCGGGGTTTCGGTGGTGTGGGCTTTCGGGTTCCCAACCCTAAACCCTGGGCCCTAAACCCCAAGCCCCAAACCCCAGTCTCTTGACCTTCAACCCGAAGCCCTTGGGGCTCTCGTGTTGCTGGCTGCAAGGCCCCTGTCGGCGCAAGACATCGACCACCATGTCTTGGGCCTGGGCTCTCACTCACCGCAACATGCCCTCATCAGTTTGAGGTTTGGGGTCCAGGGGTTAGGGTTTAGGGTTTAGTGTGTTGTGCAGGGTTTGGGGTAGGCTTTCGGTGGCCATTGCCGAAGAGGTTTTAACGGCTGAGTAGTTTTCGTTCCTTGCCTGACTGTTGTGTCGTCATGTCGGACGATACAGAAAACCCCCTAAGTCTCCATTGAACCCTCAACCCTAAATCCTAAAAGCTCAATCCTAAACCCTAACACAGAAGCCCAGCCATTTGGGTCGACTGAGGCTTTCCTTCCCATCGCGGAAGAGCCTTCAGAACCTCGGGAGGTAAGTAGAGTTTAGGGTTTAGGGTTAAGTTCAGGGTTTTAGCAATTAGGGTTTATTTGGGGTTGAGTGAGTATGCCAGGGTTGGGTTGGCATGTTAAGTTTTGAGTATTTGAAGGTCAAGTATGTTCTTGCGACCCTGCCTGACATCTTACTCGTTTAAGCTTCAATTCCTTCACAAGTGGTCTGGGTAGCCCAGTGGTGCCCGTTCGCCCTTTAATACAGGATCACTGGGCCACCCAGAATTGCCCCAAATCGAAGGAGCCTCTGTGGCGAGCAGGGCAGCGTTGCTGGCCACGTGCAAGGCCCGTGAACCGGGAGATTTCTTGCAGAATTTGGTGCTTACTAACCCATTCTAACTGCACTTAGAACGGTACTCAGAACCATATTAGGGCACTTAATGGGCTTATAAGTGGGTTAAAAGTACAGTTATAACTGGTTTATAAGTAACATGAACCTCCAAGTTGTGAATCCCCTCAATGGACATCCAGGTTCCCTTGACCCTAAACCCTAAGCCCTAGACCTCAGCCCTGTATAGCCCTAAGGGTCCATGTACCTCATTATTATATACTTGGGCCCTAAAGTCCCTGTATAGGAGCTACTTTAAGGCCCAAGTATATAATAATTAGGTACATGGACCCTTAGGGTAGCCTAAACCCTCACAACGGCCCAGAGCGTCCAGAATCACCAAGAAGACTCTGTTGGACCCCAGGGGGGAAGGAGCAGTTCGAGAGCTTGGCGTGAAATCAAGTTTAGGGTTTTCGGCTAGGGTTTGGGGATGAAACTCCCCTTTGCTCTAAGCGCTTCAGACCTCTAAACCCCGCCACCTCACATCCCCAAACTCCTCCAAACCCCAAACCCTAAACCCTAAACCCCAAACCCTAAACCCTAAACCCCCCGGGAGGCCTCATGCCCTGGCCAATTTTCGGCCTCTGGCTGCCGGTGTCTTTCGGCCTCCCGGCCCTCCGCGCCTTCGAGTCGGTGGGGTCCTCATGGGCGTGGCCTCGATGGGGTTTAGGGTGTAGGGCCTGTAGGGGTTTAGAGTTTGGGGTTTAGGGGTTAGGGTTTAGGGTTTCGGGGAACCCTCAATCCTAAACCCCGAAACCCTAAACCTACACCCTATACACCCTACAAGCTGTATAAACATCGGCTGTATTTGCCAGGAGCAAACTGCCCGTAATGTCCAATGAAATGAACCCTAAACTCTAGACCCAAGTACGCCCCCGTGTTATTCTCCAGGCTTGCGTTTCCAAAGTTGCCCTGCAAACTCTCCCGAACCCTTTTGCCCCGTCAAAATCTCCTATACGCCCGACCCTACTATAGGGGCCTACCTATTAGCCCTAAACCTAGAGGCTTATCCATTAGACCTAAACCCGAAACCCTAAACAACTAGGAGGCCCTTATACCCTTTGAGGGTTGTTTTTTGTGTTGAAATTTTCAGTCCCTTTTGAACCAAAAAGGGTATAAATTCCTGGTTTGCTCTTGGGTCTAGGTACCTTTCGGACCTATGTAATTTCAACTTGGGCAATGGAGGCTCTGGTTGAATAGGGATTCTAAGGGGCGAGATTTGGATTTCGAGGTTCTTTGTGTTTTTGCATGAGGTGCTTGCGGCTTGGGATTGCTGTGGAATGTCGGAGCTCTCGCATGCGGCCGGCCCAAATCTCACGAACGGCTATCGCGCAAGGCTTCGAATGTCGGGAGACGGTTCCTTTCCTAGGGCCTAGGGTTTAGGGTTTAGGGTTTAGGGTCTAGGTTCTAGGGTCTAGGGTTTAGGGTTTAGGGTTGTCAACCCTAAGCCATGAGCACTCAACCTTGGGATGCTCCCCCTTATCCCAACAGTCCTTAGCTGGGGTTTTCGTGCCCCCTATGATAATCCCTATTTGTACAGGGGGGAGCTAAACCCTAAACCCTATTATAATCCCTATTAAGGGCTGCTAGTACAAGGGGGAGCATCCCAACCTACACCCGGCAAAGGTACAACAAAAACTCCGCCCTGGGTGTCAGGAGATCCTGCTGGCTCAGCTGCGTTCCAGCGCTGAGAGTGCCTCGGCCTGACTGTACGGTTTCGGGGTTGAGGGCTGCGGTTTAGGGTTTCGGGTTTGAAGGCATTTAGGGCATCAGGGTGTTTCGGTTTTGGGGCTTTAGTAATTCAGGCTGTACGCTTCTAGAGGTAGGGTGTTTAGGGCTCTGGGGTCCTTAACAATAATGTACCGGGTTTAGGGTTAGGGGTTTAGGGTCTTCTTGGGAAAACCCTCCATTTATGAACAAGCGCTTAGGGGTTTAGGCTTCTATGGCTTTAGAAACTTACGAGGCCCATGGACTTATGAGCTTTCGGGGGTTTGGGCGTAGGGTTTAGGGTTGGGGCTTATGGGCCTATGGGCTTATTCAGGCTTAGAGGGGTTAAAGCCGCTTTAGGGAGCCCTGATTGCCTGGGAGCTGTTAAAGCTGTCGACTGCCGATGATGTGAAGTTTTGCGACACCCAGTGGTACCCTTTGTCCTCTTAGTCTTAGAGCATCCTACTTGCTTTGGCCGCTCCCCTTTGTGTTCAGGGTAAGCAGCCCTTCTCAAGCAGGCGCTAATGAAAGAAAGCAGCGAACCCTAAACCGTAAACCCTAAACCCTAATCCCTAAACCTTAGACCCTGAACCCTAAACCCTAAACCCTGAACCCTAAACCCTAAACCCTGAACCCTAAACCCTAAACCCTAACCCTAAACCCTAAGCTTTGTCTTGGGTTCCTGTGATTCCTGGGAACCCAGAGGGGATGCTGAGTCAGATGTTGGGTCCGTGAGGCCTCGTCGACCGCTGCAGATGTGTGGCAGAGGCCCCGCAAGAGGCAGGTTGGGTTTAGGGTTTCGGGTTTAGGGTTTAGGGTTTATGGTTTAGAGTTTAGGGTGTAGGCTGTAGGGTTTAGTAACCCTAAACCCTATACACCCTATAAACCCTATAAACGCTATAAACCCTATAAACCCTGTAAACCCTATAAACCCTATAAACCCTATAAACTCCATAAGCCCTAAATCTTGGAGAGGCGGGGTACCCTCGCAGCAACACGCTGCGGCTGCCACCCATCCTCCGGCTGTCCTGCGCCGTTTGGCAGCCGCTCCTGAAGCTTCGCTGATTTTTTGGGGCAAGTGTTTAGGGGGCTCAGGGCTCATCGGGCTTATCGGGCCCCCAGATATCCGGGCTTTTTGTCAGGCGTCTAGGGTTTTAGTGTTTAGGGTTTAGGGTTTTAGGTTTTAGGATTTTAGGGCTTATAGGGTCTCGGGCTCACAAAAGCTTCCTAAAATGGTGCTTCCTAATGTTGCCTATGAGGTTCGGGCCCTTCCCCAAGCTGGCCTTCTTGTCTTCTAAGCCCACGTGTACGTAAGCTGCCAGCCCCACGAACCTTCTGCAGGGTTGCCTGTCAGGAACGTGAACTTAAGTTCCCAGCATATGGACATGCAGTAAACCGTACGACTTGTAGATTATGGTCCCTTAAATCAAGCTCCTAGTACAGCGACCTTGCATGAAACTTGAGACAGCCAAGGAAATGCCGAGGGTCATTGGCTCTTTCCACAGAGCTCTGTGACATTGATTGGACTTTCGTACCCACGGGCACGAAAATCCAAACGTCGGATGCTTAGACCAAGGTTGCTCCCCGAGACGGGAGGCTACCGTCCGCAGGAAGAAAAGTCGCGAAGCCATAAACCCTGAGAGCCGACAAGGAACTTCTTCAAGTTTTAACATATGCCTCGAGATCCCTTGCACAAAGTCTCTAAACGCTCATCCCCAACATAGCACGCTCCGTAAGCCCAGAAAGCCGTGAGATGCTGCGGAGGTTTGGGACTAAGACACCTGCGAGGCATTGTGACAGACAATTCGCACAATTCTGCTTGTAGGGCTGAGGGTTTATAAAACCCCTAAACCCTAAACCCTTGTACCCCAATCTAGGGGTCGGAAATAATTATTCCCTTATGGTCCCTTTGTCATTATCCTATAAGAACCCCAATGCAAAACCCTATTCTAAATGGGGCACACTTACCCAGCCCAGAACTGTAATTCCTGTTATAGAAACCCTACTTTCTACTATGATGCTCCCGGAAGCCTTCCTCTCTCAGAATGGGGTTTAGGGTTTAGGGTTTAGGGTTTAGGGTGTTTAGGGTTTAGGGTTTAGGGTTTAGGGTTTAGGGTTTAGGGTTCAGGGTTTAGGGTTTAGGGTTTAGGGTTTAGTGTCTGGCCCACCCACCTCCCCTACGACGAGGAGGAGCTGCATGAGTCCATGAAGGCGACGGCAGGGGCGAAGGGGCACAACAGGAACCGCACGAAAATTTTTACCCTAAACCCTAAACCCTAAACCCTAAACCCTAAACCCTACACCCTAAACTTGTTGATGGCTTTGCAGCTTATGGTTCAGAGGCACGATTCAAATCCTGGACCCACAGAGCCGGGGTTCACAAGTTAAAGGGTTTAGGGTTTAGGGCTTAGGGTCCCTTACCTTCTTTAAAGGTTGCGAGGTACGGACGCTTGGGTGTTAAAGGGTATATAAGGGGTATATAAGGGTTCCTCAGTGAAGGGCACCATAATGAGGAACAACGTGACTAGCGTAAGAGACTAGCTTCGAACCCAATATGGCCTTGAACCCCTAAACTAAACCTCCTAGGCGGGATTAGGGGGCCTCTTGAAAGGGAACCCTTCTGAACCCTCTTCTGGCTCTCTTAAACAGGGACCTATTTCAGAGGGTCTATATCCCCAAGGGTCCCCCTAGTCCTATCTCCTAAAAACCTTCAAACTGCGTACTGCAAGTTAGAAGGCGTCAGCCCTAGCCAACATGGGATAGGGCTCGGCATGTGGGGAGTAGCCCTGAACCCTAAACCCTAAACCCGAAACCCTAAACCCTAAACTCTAAACCCCAAACCAATTTGACCTTTGCAGGTGCCGCCCAGGACCCCAAGCCACCCACTTTCAACTTAAGAAGGCCACTGAAGCGCTTGCGTCTGAACGACTGGGGCCTTAGTAGCCCCGTGGTACCCTTTACCCCCTTTTTTTCGGTTCTGGCTTCCGTTATAAACTAACCAACCCCAAAAAGGTTGCCCTTTGTTATAATATGGTTACTGGGCTACAAAGGGGCTTGTTGGGAGCCCTGAAATCCTACCATACCATACAGGAAGCCGAAAACAACCGGGTAGGGTTTAGGGTTCACATAGTTCATATACAGTATACCACAAAATTCGGGTAGGGTTTAGGGTTTCTAGGGGTTTAGGGCAAGGGGTTTAGTACACAGTAAGCCAAAAACAATCGGGTAGGGTTTAGGGTCTATAGGGTTTAGGGGTTTCGGGGTTTGTGGTTTTGGGGTTTCAGGGTCTAAGGGCATAGGGTGTTTAGGGGACCTAAACCCTAAACCCTATAAACCCTAAACCCTAAACCCTAAACCCTAAATACCCGTGCAGAGGCGCAGCTTCGGGAAAAGACAGAGAAGGAGGAGCTGTATCGCTCCAGGCCGGACGCTTCTAGGGCGGCCCTAAAGGCCTCATGCCTCGAATGCTTCTAGCCCTAAACCCTAAACCCTAAACCCTAAACCCTAAACCCTAAACTTTTGGGCTTTGGGAGTAGGATTTTGGGTTGATGGTTGAGGGTTCTGGGACTTCCGGCGTGTCGATGTCCAAAAGTCGGCCAGTTCCCACTGAAACCTTTGCCACGGTTTAGGGTTTAGGGTTTAGGGTTTAGGGTTTAGGGTTCAGGGTTTAGGGTTTAGGGTTTAGGGTTTACTGTCGGTTTCAGGAGGCCAACTTAGCAAGTTACAAAGCAGTCTACAGCAATACACACCGCTACTAGACCGGCTTAGACAATCATTCTTGCATGTTGCTGGTTCTATTTTTCAGGGGCCCTTTGACTGTCTTTCCCTAAACCCTAAACCCTAAACTTTAGAGGGTCTCCAAGAGCTGCGAAGACTGAGGAGCCCCCCCAAGGCCCTACGGAACCTCAGCGCCCTAAGCTCAAAAACGCAACCCCCTTAAGCCAAGCTTTTTCGGGTTCAGGGTTTAGGGTTTAGGGTTTAGGGTTTAGGGTTTGGAAGCATTGCTCGGTAGGCCCTTGGGACATTTTACATGTTCCCTAGTTTTCCCTTCTTGGGTTAAAGAGGATCATACTCAGGAATATGTTTCAGACGTTTTCCAGGGCCATCCGAGATTCCTCCATGCCAGGATCGAGTATCTGCAGCAGCAGATCGACGTCTACCACCAGTACGCAGCCTTCTCCTCAGCTACAGAAAGCTGTACCGGCCATCCTTCCATCGGTGCAATGCCTCCACAGGGGGTTTAGGGTTTAGGGTTTAGGGTTTAGGGTTTAGGGTTTAGGGTTTAGGGTTTAGGGTTTAGGGGCATGTTGCTCGTCGGCGACGCGTGATTCTCAACCTCTCTTCTTGCCAGTGCCCCGGAAAGGAGACGCCCATGACTCTACGAGATGGCAGCCAATCCTTCGCCGCTATGTGCTGGGTTCCCTGTTCATAGGGGATCTTGATTCTGGCTCCATCGTGCACTATTGCGCATGGGGGGTGCTGTCAACATCCTGACCACACACGAGAGAAGTTGGGTCGGTGGGCCGCGTGGGCACTTTTGCCCCACAAGCTGCACCGCCTGGCGAAGACTAGATGGACCGGACACCGAGCGTCTGTCAACTGGTGCGGGCTGCTCGAGGCCCACCATGGGCTTTTGTCCAGAGTTGTCAGCAAATTCACGGGGACACCCTTGTGCCGGACCTCGCGCAGAGGAAGCCATCTGTGTTTGTGTGGGTCTTGAGTTTAGGGTTCCAGGGTTTCGGGATTCGGGGTTTAGGGTTAAGGGCTTAGGGCTTAAGGCTTAGGGTGTAGGGTTCAGGGTTGAGGGTACATACTCTAGGACCCGGAGTAGACCCTTATTCTATAAGGGCTTCGGCTCCCTGAACTTATAAGCCACTTGAAACCAAAAAGGGCACCCTTTGTATTCCAAGGTTATACTTGGGTCTAGTACGTTACTATATGAAGCGCAGAAGTATGATGGGCATGGCCACAGAGAAGGGCATGCGACACTTGAGGCTGCTATGTCTGGGTGCGAAGTGCATCCAGCTGGGTCATTCGACACCCCCCCCCCCCTTGACATACTACACCCCGAACCCTGAACCCTTAACGCCCAAGCCCAACCCCAAATCCTAAATCCCTACAACCCTAAACCTGCCCATGCCATTAAAGCAGAATGGCGACAAGCTGGGACCCAGAGTCGTTTGTACTTTTTGGGGGATTGGATTCCCTTACCCCTTTAAACCAAACAGGGCACCCTTTTTGTTCCTAGGTTACTCCCGGGTCTGGCAAGAGGGCAAACCCCGAGGAAACAAAGCGACAGAGAACCATCCCTTCCCCAAAGCAAACTGGGCAGTGCAAAGGTGCAAATCACTGGTTTCGCCACGTGAGGCTAAAACCCTAAACCCCAAACCCCAAACCCTAAGTCCTAAGCCCGAAACCCTAAACCCAGACCAAGCAGCCACTTGCCCGACATGGCCGGAAACCTTGTGCCTAACGCCCTTTACCTCCTGGAACCCTGAAGAAGTCCGGAATCCAATGAAGCCTGAAACCTGGAGCCTCAACACCCTAAATCCCCAAACCCTAAACCCTACATCCTAAAGGCCTTAAGACCCTAAATCCCCAAACCCTAAACCCCAAATCCCTAAGGACCCTAAACCCCCAAACCTTCAGCACAACCCTGAACTCCAAACTCTACTTTGTGGTACTTTACTGTAACTTTAGACCCTTACCTTTTTTGGGCTTATTGGGTTTCTTATTAAGGCAGCTAAAAGTTCAATTTTTAGCTACCCTCCTGAGTGCAGCCAAGTCTAAACCCCAAACACAAAACCTTGACAGCCCAATGGTTCCTTTTTTTGCTGCCCTTTTTTGGGCTCAAGGTTCCCTTGTAACATACCCAACTCTTGAAAGGGTACCCTTATGATGTTATGGTTCCTGGCCACCTCAACCCTGAACCCAAAAACCAAAAACCCTAAACCCTAAACCCTAAACCCTAAACCCTAAACCCTAAACCCTAAACCCTAAACCCTAAACCCTAAACCCTAAACCCTAAACCCTAAACCCTAAACAGACTTGACCCGTTCCAAGGCTCGGGCTGTGCCCCGCCTGACGAGCCCGCGGATGGCCAGGGCGCCCCAGTTTCGGGTTGAGGGCTTAGGGTTTTAGTGTTTAGGGTTTAGGGCTTTAGGGTTTAGGGTTTAGGGTTTGGGGTTTAGTGTTTAGGGTTTAGGCTTTAGGGCTTTGGGGTTTAGGGTTGCTCCTGGGTCTTACAACTTAACACCCCTTCGGCCTGACAGCCCAGTGGGTTTAGGGTTTAGGGTTTGGGGTTTAGGGTTTGGGGTTTAGGGCTTTAGGGTTTAGGGTTTAGGGTGTTTGTTTTGGTTCTAGGTCCCCTTATAAAGGAACCAACCCCACTGCCAAGCCAGAGAGCCCAACAAGTTGAGTAGTGTACCTTGCACATATTCATACTCGGTTCCCCTTGCCTAATCTGAGATGGCTTCCTGAATAGCCTGCTACTGGGCTCTCTGGGCCCATAGAGAAGCAACCCTAAACCCTACACCCTAAACCCTGAATCCCAAAAACCCTGAACCCTAG